CCTACTCCCCTGCTCTGCTTAGCATGCGATATACTGCACACTTTTTTTATCATTAATAACCTTATCGTATTATTCAGAATTAAAGTTTAATTCAAGAAAATAGAGTTACAATGTTGCAGGAACGTTCACCAAGATATTCCTGACAATAATGAATTTACAACTACATTGATTTACGTCAAGAAAATATCGAATGTACTCAATAAGATAAGTAAAATATATAGTTGGTGTACTGAACACACACAAGTGCAGTAAGTTGTGCAAGTCTATATTATATTATCTCAGGAAAGAGACTGAGAAAATTGTACTCCTTTTAGATGAGAAATATGACGAAGTTACTTTTAATTCAAGAATATTTACAAATATTAATATCTACAGAAAATAAAAAAAATAAAATATGCTAGTCACACTAGAGAAAGTTAACAACATCATTCAGTAACTTACTATCATCATCATTGTCACGGTCCACAGTAGTGAAGACCTTGCGATTATTTCTCGCCAAGTCGTCACCTAACGAGCTGGATGGCCAGTAGTTACCTATAGTCAGGTTATACCTAAGAACAAGAATAAAATGATCATTAGAGGAGTAAGTGATGATCCATATACTCGAAGTCGATTTCAAGAACAATATTGGTTTATTGGGTGGGAATTTTGAGGTTGATAAATATTTATTTCTTGATATAAATTCGAGTTGGGATTATAAACACACCTGAAGTTAATAATTTTTCTTATATTCGACAATTAATTTTATAATTTAGAAGGTGGAAATAATCATGGAGTTCCAGCTACATTAATTTAAAAGTAATGTTACAGGTATAAATCTTTGTCTCTCACTTGGACTGCTAGTATACGAAACACACATTAAGTAAAAGGACACAACTGCAGCTAATGTGACGTTTTATTGTCGCAACGTTTCGCTCTTCAGGAACTTTATCAAGTTGTTACAAACAATACATGGACACAGAGGGTATATATGAGCCTATATATACCCTGTGTGTCTATGTATTGTTTGTAACAGCTTGATAAAGCTCTTGGAGACCGAAATGTTGACACAATGAAACGTCACATTAGTTGCATTTGTCTTTTTAATTAATATTGTGGAAAATATTTTAATTTTCCGAAGCTGTAGTGCCTATTAGGTGTTTAATGTGTTGATTTGGGTCAAAAATGAATTTGAAAATGGAATAGAACCTAACAGGGTTCCCCCTGCGCCTGCGTGGATGTGCGGGGAGACAGGTCGAGACAGAGCATGGTGGAGCGGGAATGTTTTGAATTGAGTGAAGAGGCTGTGAAAACATGGGACAGGAAATTGGCATTCACGGCGGCCTAAGGATTAATATAGGCCTCACTTCATAATAGGAAGTGTCGTGACTGTCCCTGGTGATGAGTGAGGGAACGTGATTGACGGCACCACTGTAATAAGTGGTAAAATTAGTGAATAATGGTAGGACCGGGGGTGACTGGGGTGCCGCCATGGAGTGTGTCCAGGGGAAAATACCCGTGAGTTAATCCTCACTCATCGGTCTCAGATCTTAATGGAGTGACCTCTAATGTGTATAATAATTAGGAGACATTAAATCATCTTGTGAATTGTAATGTAATCAATGATGATAACCCTAAGTTAAGAGAATGCGTGAAGTGAAATAAGTCGCCTTGCTCCGAGTGAACACGTTAGACCACGTTGTTCCCGTCCCGAGGATAGTGAAGTTTTATGGAGTCCCGACTTCTAAACCGGGACAAACCAACGGATACCTCGTCCTGCTGGAATAAGAACATGTCGGTGTAGCAGGACATCGAAATGAGATGGTGAATGGAGGAAATAAGGAGCATCAATCACCCACAGTTAAGTAACCTTTCTAGTTATAGCAGACTGATACTGGCCAGTTAGGTATGTTGTAATTGGATAGGTAATGGGTGATCCAGCTACATCAAGTGACCGCCAGAGAATATCTGGTAAGTGGTGGGATTATGTACAAGTGTTTTTCCTTGATGGATATATCCATGTGTAACCTACCCCCCCCCCTTCATTCAGTTAAACTAATATAATCTATACAGTCCACAATTAATTAGTAGCGCCGTACTTGTGGGTGCTATCCAATTTATACTGGTCTCGGATAGATATGGATAAGATTGTGAGTGTTGAAGGACCACCTACAGTGACCAGAAGTGGTTAAGTTTTCTCACATGTCTACACGGGGTGACTACGGTAAACAATATAGTTGTTCTCTCCCAATGAGATTACTCGTATGCATGTAATGTTGAGGTACGTACAGGTAACCCCCCTACAAAATTTTCCATATCTGCCTGCTGGTCCTTCCTGAACCGGATGCAATCAGTGAAAAAAATTAATTGAATTAATTTCTTAATAATTAAGTGACTGATTGAAGAAAGTGGGTATAGGGTTCACAAATTTAATCGATCGAGTGGTGGATGATAATTAGCCCAATTAATTGCTAGCACATGTGTGGCTAAGATTTATACAAGAGAAAAGTGCAAGAATTACCCTTATAAGGAGCCTACTTAAGTTGTATAATCAGTGATTAATAATTCTCTAACCATGACTGGATCTGATGGAGTTAATGTGGCTGATAAGTCCGTGAATTTTAGAGTAATGAAAGCATCATTACAGGCTATTAAAGGCCATGTGACGAAGGCATACAAGTGCTACTATTTAATGAATCAAGAAACCGTGAACCCTAATGAATTAAAGTTATACTTAGATGCTTTAGAGAGTAGATTTGAGTGGTACAAATTGTGGTTTAAAGACTGTGAAAGAGATCGGCTGGAGAATTGTGCAGATGGAATGGAAATTAATGTTTTAATTAATCAACATTACGAATTGGAAGAAAAACTGTCTTGTAAAAGTAAGGCTTTGAATAAATTAAAGGGTGTAAGCCAGGCAGTTGATCAACCTATTAATGCAAAGGGTGTGTTTGCCAAAATCTCCAGAGTACGGTCTGGAGGGAATCAGAATAGGTCGGCAAGAATTAATTGCTCAATTTCAGACCAGTCAGCCAAACAGTTCTAAGGATATAACACATAATGACTCTGAAGTATCTGTCAAGTCTCAAAAGGAAAAAATAATCTCAGTGGTAATAACCATAATTAAGAGTTAAATAGGCACATATCAAGTGACAGGAATCAGTAATAGTGGTTCCTCACATCAAGGTAAGAGGAATAAATACCTCAGTAAGGGTAACCCAGTTAATAAGAGGTCAGGCAAGGAAAAGAGAGAGTCTCTTCTGCCAGGGTACTCATTTCACTAAGAACTGTAATGCCTATAATTCATGGGATATTAAAGTGGAAAGAATGAAAGAACTTGACAGATTTATCAGATGTCTAGACAATCATAATGTAAAGGATTGTCATACCAAATGGAACAGTTGCTATCAATGCAACAAGAGAAGGCACCATACAGTTATGTGCAGAGTTGTATGTAAGTCTTATAATAATGGTGACAATAATGATAATGTTAATAACCCTGACACTACAGTGACTGATGTAAAGGTTGCAGCTAATGGCAATAATGATGGCCTAGCTGAGGTAGCCTTGCCGGTGTTGGATGTAATAATTCAGGATAAAGGGCATAAATCCAAAACCATGCGGCGTCACTCTCCTCAACATTGATACGGGCCATGTAATATATGGCAAACTACCGCCTAGTAATAATGACTAGAGGAAGTAGTAAATACAGTCACGGTGTCTTACTCATAAAAGGTCAACCCAGTACAAGTATTCTTCTATCGAGAATGATGTTGAACCAGTCTAAGTTGTGGGAGCTGGACAGCATAGGGATTAATATAAATGAGGAAAGTCCAAATGATTCCATTACTCAGGAACAATACCTGAAGGATGTTAAATGTGAATCTGGACATTACTGGGTGCGACTTCCGTGGAAGCTTGACCGTCCAGAATTACCTACTAATTATAGGATGGCGTATGGACAGTTAGAGGGCCCAGCTCTGCGAACTGAGCAAGACACCAAAATTGTTGACTGCTTATAATGATATAATTAATAAACAGTTAAATAATAAATTGTTCCTACTTCAGGCGACGATAAATGCACACCTTAAGTGCACAGGTGGTCCACTGAGCGAAGTAATTGAGTATATAATCTTATGTGGACAATATCCGGGTGTGACGTCAACTGAAGAGGAACTAATGAGGATATGTGAAGGGGTTAATGAAATAATGCAAGGTGCAAGGATGCCCCTGAGGGAATGGAACAGTAATTAGTCCATTTTGAGGGATTAATAAATATGGATAGCCCTGGAGTTGAAGTGCCTATATGAAGTAATGTGCTGGGGTTGGCTTGGGACACTGAGAGAGACTTGTTATTGTTAAACTCTCATAATTCCAGTATGCCAAATAAATTAACCCAGAGAGCATAGGCTTAGTGTCACCCCTTACAATAAGAGAGAAATTGTTAATACCAGAAGCATGGAAGCTTGAGTGTGCTTTGGATGGAGCCCTACCTGAGGAGTTAACAGGTGGAAAGAATTAATGGGTGATTATGTAAACACCAGTGTTGGAGTTCCCAAGCCAGGTGGCCAGTGAAGATGGGAAATTGTACTCCACATTATTTAAGTCGTCTAACAACGACCTATGCCCAGCCGCAGTGTGGAAAATATTTTAATTTTCCAAAGCTGTAGTGCCTAATAGGTGTTTAATGTGTTGATTTGGGTCAAAAATGTATTTGAAAATGGAATAGAACCAACAGGGTTCCCCCTGCGCCTGCGTGGATGTGCGGGGAGACAGGTCGAGACAGGGCATGGTGGAGCGGGAGTGTTTTGAATTGAGTGAAGAGGCTGTGAAAACATGGGACCAGGAAATTGGCATTCACGGTGGCGTAAGGATTAATATAGGCCTCACTTCATAATAGGAAGTGTCGTGACTGTCCCTGGTGATGAGTTTACCTGGAGTTTACCTGGAGAGAGTTTCGGGGGTCAACGCCCCCGCGGCCCGGTCTGTGACCAGGCCTCCTGGTGGATCAGCGCCTGATCAACCAGGCTGTTGCTGCTGGTTGCACGCAAACCAACGTACGAGCCACAGCCCGGCTGATCCGGAACTGACTTTAGGTGCTTGTCCAGTGCCAGCTTGAAGACTGCCAGGGGTCTGTTGGTAATCCCCCTTATGTGTGCTGGGAGGCAGTTGAACAGTCTCGGTCCCCTGACACTTATTGTATGGTCTCTTAACGTGCTAGTGACACCCCTGCTTTTCATTGGGGGGATGGTGCATCGTCTGCCAAGTCTTTTGCTTTCGTAGTGGGTGATTTTCGTGTGCAAGTTCGGTACTAGTCCCTCTAGGATTTTCCAGGTGTATATAATCATGTATCTCTCCCTCCTGCGTTCCAGGGAATACAGGTTTAGGAACCTCAAGCGCTCCCAATAATTAAGTGGTAAAATTAGTGAATAATGGTAGGACCGGGGGTTACTGGTGTGCCGCCATGGAGTGTGTCCAGGGGAAAATACCCGTGAGTTAATTCTCACTCATCAGTCTCAGATCTTAATGGAGTGACCTCTAATGTGTATAATAATTAGGAGACATTAAATCG